AAGACCTACAATAGGACAATAGGCCTCACGGGTAAGGACCAAAAGGGGAGGCTGATCCAACCACATCACAAACCCGCGGCTAGCCGTCAAGCAAACGTCAAATTGCAGCCCCATAAACTGCCAAATCAATCCATCAAAACCAAATAACAGCCTTCAAATGGAGACAACACAACACATCCAAAACAGGTTCTCGGGCAAAAGCCAAGACCAACAAGAATAAAAAAAAAAAAAAAACCAAGCCATCTCTCTGGTAACTAGAAATTAGGAGAAGGCGTTACCAAGATGAAAACAGCGCCAAACGAAGCACACTAAGATCCCCAACTAGAGCCAAACTGAGCTCAACAAAAACCAAAGCCAATCCGAGCCCAACGAGAACCAAAGCCAAAACCAGAGCTCGACGAGAATCAAAACCAAAGCCAGAGCTCGACAAGATTAAAAAAATAGGCCCCAATATTGATAAAAATTCATATAGAAATTAAAGTTCCAACCACCTATAGGTAAAACCGAGCCATCCAAAGCTACCATCCAAAGCTAAGAAACAAAAGAAACAACCTGCATATCTAAATATGATTTCAACAAATATTTGAATAGGGGTGAGGCATCACGAGGGGCCAAGTCAAGCCCTCAAAACAAGCTACAACATTTTTTTAAATTAAATAAATTCCCTTGTAGCATACATTTTGAGCCAGGGAAAGCAACAGGAAGCCGAAACCGAGCCTCCAATAATGCTTAAAACAGTAAAATACACTCCCAGCCTTCGTTTTAAGTGAGAGCAAGTCATAATATGCCAAAGCCAAAACCCCAACATGCTTGAAAGAGAAACAAAAAGAAAACCCCAGAGTCATGTCTTAGCTCCTTAAATTTTTTTAACATAAACATGCCACAATAATTATAAAGATGCCATAGCCTCCCTAGTTTAAGCAAGTAATCAAGTTTAGCTTCTAGGACATGCCCACATTTCCATTTTTAAATGCACCTGAAGTGAATATCTCAACAATATGTCAAAGTAAAATGAACTAGCATGCTGTGTCACCCAACAGAGCTAAGCTCAAAGGCTCGGCAGAGAGGAAAATCGAAAGGCAACGAGGCACTGAGAAGAAAAGGGGGGGAAGAAGAGTACCTCTAATAATGCCAAAGTAAAGCACTGCAACACAAGAGTTCACCCCAAAGAAGTGCTCCCACAGAAATTCCCTATCCAATCTCCTCACAGCCGAAAATTCCTACTCTCCTTTCTTGCAAACTTTTTTCAACAACCCCAAAAAAATCAAAAGGAACTATGTTTATAGGCCGAGAAGAGAGGAGAAGAGGCAGAAGGTCACCCCCTTGAACCCACGGCACCTGAATCGGGCCAAAAAGAAAAGAACGCGCTCCCTGCCCACAGAAGGGGAAGCCATCGAAGCCTCTCGGACCGAGCGGCGAGACTAGTG